TTAATTAAACTCCAAAATGTAACAATATATATACAAAATTCGGATTCAAAATTTTGAAGCATCTAAAAATATAATGCAAAAAAATAAAAATAAAAAATACCACAAGTCCTAAGCAGTGAGTAAAACAGTCCCACCGGCCTCCTTAATTTTCTTCTCAATAATTTTCGACATGAGCTTGTCCTTAGTAGTGAATGAAGGCTGATATGAACCAAATGTAGCCCCAATTAAGTTCACATTGCCATTTTCCACGACATCCCCCTTCATAATCTTTTTTTGATCTGCCAAAAAGATACATCCGAAACTAAATAATCCGTAAAGTGAATTTCCCCTGACTCAAGTTTTCAGTTCATTTATAATATCAAGATTAATATAATTATATAATATCAATAAATTCATAAAGTGCAAATTGAAACCCTTATACATTGTAGATTTAAGGCCCAAAAATTATCAAGGCTATCCTGAAATCTCTAAGGACGCATAATCAAAGGTAAACAAGCACTTCTTGACAAAGGTGTCAAGACATATAGGGCTTGTCGATGAAGTTTCTGAGAATAACAAATTGAAATCCTTATCCAAAAAAAAAAAAAAATTGAAATCATTATTTAGTTCTCCTGCACCACACTGTTTAAATGGAGTACGTGAGAGGAACACCATCTCTATGAACTGAATCCAATCACTATTAGTCATGAATATGATAATTTTCTCGTATTCCAAAATCTAAAGAAAAGATTAAAGTAACAAAAGAAATGAATAACCTCTTTTTTAAAATCAAATACGTGCAAGTCATAATCAGCACTAACGTTTTGAGGTTAAAGGGTAGTAGTCAACTGGTAAAGTAAAAGAACTAAACAAAGTACAAAACTCTTCTTCTTGGTGGGCCATGGCTATTTTATTGGGTGCATAAACTGCAAGTTTCACACAATAAATTTTAAGAATTTATAAGGTCCTAAACTTTCATAGTTGTTTAACATTTTCCCCTTTCGTTTGCCCCCGTCAAAGGAATTTAATTTTGTGAACGAAAAGAATGAGCATGAAAGCCATCCATGGTCAAAAAGAATCATCCAAGGCGATAGACCATCCAGAGAAACTTAACAAATAAATTTTACAATCGAAAGCAACCACATATTATCGAACCTGTATGTGCTCTGCGAGTTGAGAAGAGTAATCTTTCTGTTTGATGCATTAGCATTAAGAAGTGCTGTGCAAGTTTGAAAGAAATGAATAATCAAGCATAGGATCTGGCTTTCCAGAGCCTTTGAAATTGAAGAATCTCCTCTTGAAAGTGAAGCGTTGAGCAAAACCAATAGCATGTGCTCCTATTACTATAAAAGAATAAGATACAACTTCTGGCAGGATCTTTCTCTGTCTGCCTTTATACAGGATAACTTCAAATCCTCAAATTGAATGGCAGTCGAATAAAGCATTCTTCTCCCCTTTGAATGGCAGAACTAATTGAAGGAATACAAAAGAGGCATTGATTCTATCTCCATTTTCTCAATAGTAACACAATTTCTTAAAAGTCATTGAATCTGATTCACTCCTTACCGTGTCTAAAATTTTAGGGAAATTATTGAAAATACCCTAAAATCAACCATACCCTTTCCAAAATACCCCTTTTTACTATTCAACCTTAAAACTACCTAAAATACCCTTAAAATAAAAGGATTTAAAACAAGTCATTTTAGTCCTTAAACTTTAAATCTAATTTTGGATTTGACAAAATTGTTTGCCACTTGCAATAAAAAAAT